TTTGCTGGGTGACTGATGCAACGGGTGGGTCTTGACCGGCTCTCCCAAGCCCCGTCTCAATCCTGTGACCACTACCTATGAAGGCTGGGTTGGTATTAATCTCCGCAGGTTCATAAGGGCCGACCAGTTGTTTCAGTGGGATCGTTTAGTGCTGAGTCACAGAGGTTTGTCTGCGAGATGCAGGCAAACGGGAGCTTGAATTCAGCCGATCTGGGCTCGGTGTCGGTTGTCATAGCTTCTTAGATCACTGTGTAACTTCATTAAGCCTCAATTTCTCTTTTTTATTATATATGTTCTACCTCCTGCCCAGGAGGCTACAAAGATTCAGTAATATAATAGATGTGAAAGTGTTTTCTAAAATATAAGTTTATGTTTTTATTGTAATTATTTCCACCCCATATTGTATCTATCCTAAATCAGTTAAGTCAATATTTATTAAGTGCCTACTATGAGGAAAATTAGTAAGAATTTCCTAAGTAGTAACCTACGAGATTTATATAAAGTTAAGTGTTAAGTATCATAAGAATGATATAGCCTAAACTTCTGTGAAAGTTCAGAAGGATTATTTTCAGCTGGAGGCATTTAGTATCAGCACTATATTTCTTACATTTTTTTTTATTGGCAATTATGTGTTTTCAAAATAATTCCTGGATTTAGGCAAAGTTGTTCCATATTATTGTCAGCTTCATTTGATTTTTATTCATAAAAATACTAACTTTATTGTTTTCTGTAATTTAGTAAGCACTTCTTTTTTTGTTTATTTTCTAAGTGACTAACTTTTGGTATCATTTGGTAATTTAATGGATTTAACTTCACTTCCATCTTCCGGTTCATTAAGAAAGATTATCAGATAAGTTTTGATTCAGGATTCACTATTTTAGGATACTTCTTAAAATATTCTTCAGGATTTACTTTGATACTTTATGTGTAGCTTTCCAGTAGTATGTGTTCATCCAAAAATGTTTGTAGTTTATTCCTGAGAATTGTGTAGAGTCTTCTCTAAAACTCAGACTATACCTATTCCTTACTCTCATCCTTTAGACCTGACCGTCCAGCATAGGACACTACTTCACAGAGCTTTCCACGTTGCCCATCTTCTTGGTCTCTTTGAATGGGTTAAGATTTAAGAGCCATCTGCCTGTAGGATTGGCTTCAGTGCTTTCCTTGTTGGCAGAGTCAGGTGTATTTATCTCCAATTGTTAGTCATCATGTTTTTTTTTCCCCTCTTAAGATTAAGCACTGATATTTATTCTTCCTTTAGGTTTTCAGGAGCTTCCTATGAGTGCTGCATATTCTTAGTCCTGGTGATCTGGCTTCAGCAGTAGTTACCAGGTTATCTTGAAGGAAAACTAAATCATTTTTCAGTATTCAGATAAATATAAAATGGTTGATGTTTATTATCTGTTTTAGTTATTTTTATTTAGATGGTGGTTTTAGCATTCATAAGATATGCATGAAACTGTTGCTGTCAGAGCAGTGTGCAATGTGGTGAACATTTGCTAGACAGTGCCTTGCCTAGTTAGGGCACTCATCTGCTGGTTGAAGGAGTGAATGCACTTTTACCTCTTTAGGCCAGAGCTGGTGTTAGTCTGAAATCTGCTGCTGTTCCTCCCTTCCTTTTGTTTAGGACTAGCAGCTCCTCCTTCAGTGCAAATAACTTAGATAACACTGATATGTTTTAGAGAGGAAGTGTGCATTTATTTGTTAGACTCTAGGTAGCAAAATTGATAGGTCTTTTGTTATTTTTCTGAGTCTGTAGTTAATGTGGATATTAGGGGTAGGAAAGATTTATGTGAAAATATTGATATCATATTGACATTAAAACTTGTTTTAGTTTCCCATATTGTAATTTGTACAATAATTTCATATAAAAGTAATAAAAACTAGAAAATAATGAAAACCACTATTAAAAAAGCCATCCTTAATCCCACCTCCCAGTAATAATAATTTATAATCTCTGTCAGTCTTTCTAAATAGACATGTTTAAGTCTGTTAACCAAATTGTCACATTCAGCATTGTACATCTTTGTTTTTTTTTAAATACTTAGTTGGACACAATACCTTTGTTTTATTTATTTATTTTTATGTGGTGCTGAGGATTGACCCCAGGGCCTTGCATGAGCTAGGCGAGCATTCTACTGCTGAGCAACAACCCCAGCCCCAAGCATTCCACATCTGTAATACCATGTATTACTTTATCAAAGAACCAAAGTTCACTGCAATGCAAACAGCTGTTTTTTGTATTTGTTACTTTGGCACCAGAGGTGAATCCAGGGGCACTCAACCACTGAGCCACATCCCTAGCTCTTTTTATTTTTTGTTTTGAGATAGGATCTTGCTAAATTGCTGAGGCTGGATTTGAACTTGCAATCCTCCTGCCTCAGCCTCCTGAGCCGCTGGGATTACAGTTGTATACCACTGCTCCTGACAAACAGCCATCTTTTTATAAGAACATTTATATTTTTACATATTATGTTAGTGCCTTAACAAGTGTTATAAAAATTTCATCTCCAATGCAGAGGACTTAGTTAACTATCTCTGGTGACACCTGAGTCACCATTTGGGAGTCTTTGAGTAGAACAGTCAAAAACTCGTAAGCAGGTTTGAAAGTCTCCACGTGGACCTTTGATCTTGTGTTTGAGTGGCTTCAAATGTGCTGTAATGTCTATGCAGATACCTTTTGTTAGTTGATGTGAGTTGCCAATTTCAGTTTAGTGTAATTCATCATGTTACAGAATTAAACTGGGAAATAGTTGTTCACTTTGTGTAATTTTAGAGCATTGTTAATACTCAAGGGTTTTTTTTTAATCCCCCACTTGCCTAACACATGCTTTCACAATCACTTCATTTTTCAGCAGTGATGGCATTCTGTCAGTTCTGCCTCTAAAATCAGTCTTCCCTGTGACTCCACCTCTATGACCTTGAAGTTATGGCCTTGTTTCAAGTTTTAATTTCTCTTTAGAATATTCTAGAAGATGCTTGACTGCCTGTATTTTTCCCCCTTCCTTCCTGTTATAATGCTATAATATTTTCTACCCATTCATGAAGTTTCTTACCTCCTTCTCTTCCTTTATTGTTTTTAGCAAAGTATTTTAGAAAATTTGAAAACTGCATGTACATAGAAAATGAACTTTATTGTGTAGAAATGAGCATTGTGGGTGTCTTTTTTTAACACTTGTTTTTGTTTGTGGGTGCTGTGTACATGCACGTGTGTGTGTATATATATAAACTTCTAAAATTGGATCAATCTGTGTGTTCTTTAGCCTTTTAAAAATCTTAGTATTATCATGTGGGATTAGGCCCCAACTTCCTTAATAAGACTCCAGTAGTGCAAGAATTAAGCCAAAAATCAATAAAGGGGATAGAATCAAACTAAAAAGTTTCTTCTCAGCAAAAGAAACAATCTGTGAGGTGTTGACATCCAGTTCGAGCCTACATCCTGGGAGCAAAGGTTTACCCCTCATACATCAGATAGAGCACTAATCTCTAGGGTATATAAAGAACTCAAAAAGCTAAGCACTGAAAAAAACAAATAACCTAGTCAACAAATGGGCCAAGGACCTGAACACACACTTCTCAGAAGATGATGTACAGTCAGTCAACAAACATATGAAAAAATGTTCATCATCTCTAGCAATCAGAGAAACTCAAATCAAAACTACTCTAAGATATCATCTCACTCCAGTCAGAATGGCAGCTATTATGAAGACAAACAACAGTAAGTGTTGGCGAGGATGTGGGGAAAAAGGTACACTTATACATTGCTGGTGGGACTGCAAATTGGTACAGCCAATTTGGAAAGCAGTATGGAGATTCCTTGGAAATCTGGGAATGGAACCACCATTTGACCCAGCTATCCCTCTCCTCGGACTATACCCAAAGGACTTAAAAACAGCATACTATTGGGACACAGCCACATCAGTGTTTATAGCAGCACAATTCACAATAGCTAAACCGTGGAGCCAACCTAGATGCCATTCAGTGGATGAGTGGATAAAAAAATGTGGCATATATACACAATGGAATTTTACTCAGCAATAAAAGAGAATAAAATCATGGCATTTGCAAGTAAATGGATGGCTTTGGAGAAGATAATGCTAAGTGAAGTTAGCCAATCCCAAAAAAACAAATGCCAAATGTTTTCTCTGATATAAGGAGGCTAATTCATCTTGGGGTAGGGAGGGGGAGTATAGGAGGAATAGATGAATTCTAGATAGGGCAGAGGGGTAGGAGGGAAAGGGAGGGGGCAGGCGATTAGCAAGGATGGTGGAATGTGATGGACATCATTATCCAAAGTACATGTATGAAGGCTCCAATTATATGTCAACATATAATTTATATACAACAGATATATGAAAAATTGTGATATATATGTGTAATAAGAATTGTAATGCAAAAAAGGAAAAAAGTACATGAATAAAGGCATGAATTGGTGTGAACATACTTTATATACAAAGATATGAAAAATTGTGCTCTATATGTGTAATAAGAATTGTAATGCATTTCACTGTCGTATATTTAAATAAAATAAAATAAAATAAAAATCTTAGTATTGCCTGGTGTGGTGGGGCATGCCTGTAAATCCTAGCGGCTCAGGAGGCTGATTCAGGAGGATCATGACTTGAAAACCAGCCTCAGCAAAAGCGAGGCACTAAGTAACTCAGTGAGTCCTTGTCTCTAAATAAAATAAAAAATAGCGCTGGGGATGTGGCTCAGTGGTTGAGTGCTCCTGAGCTTAATCCCTGATACCCCATTTCCCCCCCACACACAAAAAAAACCCCAAATATTTTGTGAACATTTTCCCATGTCTTTCTACATTTTTTTGCTCTGTAATACAGATGTATTATGATTTATTCTTCCTTGCTGGACACTTGGGTCTTTAGGTCCCTTCTTTGCCATGTAATCTTAACTCTTAGCATTATGTTCTTAGAATTTGGTACTTTGTCATGACAGGTTATGCTAATTGGTATTTTAATGTTGTATTTTTTCTTTTTTTACAGGTAATGTGGCTTTAGATAATCTACAGATAAAAGAAAATGCTCTGGTAAGTTTGTTTTAAACTATGCTAAAAATTCAGTTAATTTGGTAAGCTCTTAGAAACCTTTGGTTACTAGGCATCTGGTACCAGGTACAAGATAAAGTGATTGAGTCACTCAAAGCAAGATTACTTATTTAACAGTTAATGGAAAATTTGAGATTAAAGATTTGGAATATTTTTCCCCTAGTGATCAATATACTGTCTCTGAAAATGCAATGTTTTTTCTTGCCTTAATTTGACTATACAGCTTTTCAAGTCTGCATTTTTTTTTACAGAAACATTTTTCTTCAGAATTATCTTTTAAATAAGGGCTTGATTTTAAACAGTCTCCCTAGTCTTATGGTATTATGGTAATATTAAGAGCTAAAATAGTAATTTTATTCTGTGTCTTATACTTTGCGTTATTTTCTGTTTAGCTAAAAACGAGACTCACCTTCTTCCCCATTAGGTTTATATTTAGCCTATATCTGTTTCTTTGTGGCTTAAATAAGATGAGAAGTTTAGCCTGGCACACAGTAGATACTCAAAATAATTTAAAATTTTCTTTTCTTCCTTTATATAGCATGTCACAATTTTTAAAATTTCCTTTAAAAATTTAGAACTCATGATTTTATTGCTAGAGTTTAGAATAAAGCTTATTTTTTGACAAGATTTTATAAGAACATAACTATAAATAGAATGTGGGGACAGAGTATATATCACCTACTTAGAAGATAAATCCAACATTAGTCTAATTTGTGTTAGCCTAATTTGCATTTCGGGTATAATTAAATTAAATATTTTGTGATTTATTCTCCATTACTTGTCATAATAGACTCCTTTCCCAATATAACCACATTGGTGAGGTTTTAATTTTGGATATGGGTTCTTTACATTTATTTGGTGTAAAAGTTATTTTAAGAAGCTAAAAATGAGCATGAAACCAGTTTCAGAAGTAGGTAGTTATGGTTTGTATCCTGTTTAGATTGAATTCCCTTGAATTTATCTTTTCTGTCTTCTGGGAGGGCAGAATTGCTCTTATTGCCAGTGAAGGGTTTTTGTTTGTTTTTTGGTCTAAAAAAGATTTTTCTGTTAAAAATGATTAGTATTTTGTTCAGTTCCCATTCATTTAGAATGCTCAATTAATCAGATTATCATGTAAATTGATTATTTTAGTTACTTGTAACCTAAAGTACTGTGTTTCTGTGGCCACATTTTCATATTACTCCCGTGTATTAAGGTAATGCCTATTGGGAAGTCTGTACTGACTGGTTTAGTTATTAATAATTCTGAAGACTCTGGTGGTCATTATGAATATCAGTTATTGTTTAGTATTCTGTGAATAAAAAAAAGTAATTTGAATTTTCTAATAGTTTGAATCTAAATAAGTGAAAATCTTTTATTATTGGTTCGTGTTTGTCTTCAGCTTACAGGAAATGCTACTTTAGTAAATGATATGTTGGGAATCTACCTTTACTTTAAAAACTTTTATTCTTTTAAGAAATATTTGATTTGAGACAATTATTCAGATATTATAGCCAACTAATTTATGTGAAAGTACTCTATTCCTTTTCTTGTTCTAGCATTTTGGATAAACAATGTTCCTGTGTTTAAGTTCATGGAATTTTCATTTGTTTTATTGGAACAAGTAACCAGTTTATCCAATTACTTTATAAAACTACAAACTCTTTTCCATTTTTGTAAGTCAAAGTTTAATAAAACTCTGGCTATAAAGCATACAGTTTATGAGTTATTCAAATATAGAGAATTTGTGTTTTTTTTCCTTTCTAGGTGAGTGTATTTAAATGATGATACAAAAATGTTTTTTTTTTTTTGGGGGGGGGATTGCTTAATAATTTAAGATGTCATTTACACTTTTTTCTTCCTTCTGAAGAGTGAATTGGATGTTCCTTTTAAAGTCAAGGCTGGCCAAATTGGTAAGTATTTCACTCTTCATTTGAATTATTATTAGTCCTTTTAGTTCTTTATTTTGCATGTACTGTTTAATCTAAGAAATATTTTTTAACTTGATTAAAACATGAGAGATTTTTGGTTTATCTTAATTTTAGAGTTCTAAGCTTATATATTATACCTATATACTTCAGTATTTTTTTTAAAGGGTAGAAAATCACCTTCTAAAATGAAAGGTATGTGAATTGCAGTCATGTTCTTCAGGCTTTGATTCTGCTGCACAAAATATGTCTTCATTTTCAGAACTCATAACTTGTGTGCTTTTTCTGTATATGTGAGAGTAGAATAATTTGAAAACTCTGTTAAATAAACTTTAAAATATAACTTGTTTTCCTCAAGTTTGTTCAACCATTTTCACTTAATATGTTATGCCGCAGTGTGGTATGGAGGATATATTTTGGTAAGTACAAAGTTTTCTTCTTTGCAGCTACACTCTTAGATTAAGACCATTGATACGAAACACATATCTTTGTAGAAGAAAGTTTTTAACAGAAAATTTAATTTACAAAATTCTCCCAATTAGTTCATGCTACCTGATTTTTTACTTAATGTGTATCTCTCTATATGTAAACATAAATTACATAATTACAACCCTAAATAGCTTACTCTTTATAATTTTCACTTATACCATGTCCTTGATCCTACTTATAGCACCTTGCTGTTATACCACATTGCTTCTCTTCTTGATTTAGTATTTTGAATTCTAGGAAGGCTTTGTCTTTTATACTGTTTGGGTCCATTTTACATAAATTACATGTATCCTTTTAATATAAAGGAACGTGAGTTTGCTTTTGTCATTTGTAATAGAAGTCATTACCTGAAATTGAAAGTATCTATGGGACATGTGCCATCTTTTTGTTTGTTAAGTACTGCCAACTATGGTAGTATTGTTCTAGTAGTGCTCTAGAAGTATTATTGTGGCCCTGTGTGCTTTATTGAAATCCTATAGTATAGATGTTGTAGCCATTCATTCATCCTTTTACCTTTGAAATATTTATGCATACATGCTGAATATGTCTAATCAAGTACTGTGGGAGAATCAAGAATGAAGATGATGTCTTTGTTTTCAAGGATGTGATAGAGATCTAAAATTAGGACATATAGTAAAATTGTTTTTCCAGTGTATTGGATAAATTATAGTAGACTAAAGAAATTTTGCATTATTTACTATATTCTTATAATTAGATTTATATGTTGAAGGAGCTTTTCTAGTGGTTTAAATATGTTCTTATAACTTTTAAAGTATAATAAGGATTTAATAGCTTCTCCAGAGTTGCTCAGTTACAAGAGACCCATTACATAATAAGGGATGCAAAGCATATTCGTCCTTTATCTTGGTTAATAGAGTGTTTATTTTTTTATTTTATATATATATATATATATATATATATATATAGAGAGAGAGAGAGAGAGAGAGAGAGATAGAGAGAGAGAGGGAGGGGGAGAGGGAGAATTTTTTAATATATATTTTTCAGTTTTCGGTGGACACAACATCTTTATTTTATTTTTTATGTGGTGCTGAGGATCAAACCCAGTGCCCCGCGCATGCCAGGCGAGCGCATTACTGCTTGAGCCACATCCTCAGCCCCAGAGTGTTTATATTAGTTGTTGAATTTCTTCTCAGGTTAGAATATTATACCTCAGCTGTAGATTTTTTTTTTTAACACAATGCCTTTATTTTTATGTGTTGCTGAAGATCGGACCTGAGTCCCGCTCATGCTAGGTGAGCACTCTACCACTTAGCCACAATCCCAGCCCCTCAGCTATAGATTTTTAAAGGGGCATTTCCCACTATTTCAGTCTTATGCTCATGGAGAAGGCAGTTAAATAAATGGTTAAAGATTATGAGATAATTACAAATTGTATCAGTTATAAATATATGCAATGCCTAGTATAAAACAATAAGAATTAGAAGTGACCCAAAAGTATACTAGTATTACCTCTAAACTCCCATGACCTGGGAGCCATTTAAGAAACTCACCAGGTTTATAGGCTGAAATGAAAATAAAATCTAAATGGAGAAATAATTTGATATTTTAACCCTGGAATAGATTCCCAGGTAAAACTGTCCAGGTGACCAAAATATCACACTTTACATAGCATTATTTTATTTCCTTTTCATCTTTTTATATTGTTTATCAAGTCTTTGCACTTTGAGCATCTTCATTTAAAAATGCTAGTGTAAGTGACTTAGTCATTCACATACTAGCATGAGTTGAATCAGATTCTGTTCTCCTAAAAGTCTTGATCATCAGCACTGAGAGAACTGCAGCTTTTATCATGTTATTTTTTTTTTACAGTTATGATATGGAAGGTAGTTTACATTGGAATCTAAATAAAAAATGCAAAAGGGCTGAGGATGTGGCTCAGTGGTTGAGTGCCCCTGAATTCAATCCTGTTACCAAAATAAAACAAGCAAACAAACAAAAAAACAAAAACAAAACCATATAAAACTTCAAGGGTAGGAAAGGTTTGGACAGAATTCTAGTAGTAGTGTTGAGGGCAGACTGGGGGCTGCCTGGAGCCCTGGAAAGAGGGATAACTGGAGATGGGAAAGGATAAAGAAAGTACAAAAGACAGATTTTTTTCCCTTTCAAAATTTAGCTGTATTCTCTTTTCTGTCCTTTTTTCTTTTTCCTGTAGAACCCTAAATATGTAAATATTAGAGCCAGAGTTTATCTACATTGTGACAGTTTCTGTGGACTCTTTCCTGAAGGGCCTGGTACTAATACTATTGTTTCTAAGAGAGAAAATGTGTTCTGCCTTTCAAGTGACTGATAAGTAGATTTTTGGAATGTAACCAGTCTGAGTTATGTAATAATAGAGTCATATTAATATAACACCATAAAACAGTTATGACTTTCTTTTAAAGCTCACCTCTTGCTGTCCTAGCAACTTTATATACTGTCAAAGATCTATTCCTTGGGACCCTTCTCTATGTTGTTACTTCAACTCCTGGGATCTTGTACACATATTATTTTTAGAGATTTAGTTGTTGTTGTGAATGTAACAGTATATGCAATATTCAGATGAGTTCTGGTTCCAGCAAACCATATTTAGTATGTAATATGTTGTATGTAATATGTAATATTTAGCAGCTCCCAGTCTGCCCTCCACACTACTACTAGAATTCTGTCCAAACCTCTCCTACCCCTGAAGTTTTATATGGTTTTGCTAATGACCTGTGTGGACTTAAGCATGTCAGTCTAACCTTTCTGGGACTGAATTTCCTTTTTTTAGGGGGAGAGGTACCAGGAATTGAACTCAGGAGCACTTTACCACTGAGCCACATCTCCAGCCCTAATTTATATTTTATTTAGAGACAGGGTCTCACTGAGTTGTTTAGTGCCTCGCTGTTGCTGAGGCTGGCTTTGAACTTGCCATCCTCCTGTCTTAGCCTCCTGAGCTGCTGGGATTACTGGCATTTGCCACCATGCCTGTTGAATTTCCTATTTTTCAAAATTGAAAAAATAGCCACTGCATTTATCCTTCAGTTTTGTAATATTAAATGAAATACTAGCTCTCAAAAAGTTTGGAGAGTATAAAGATAAAGCATAATGTGAATATTTACTTATAATGGTACTATTATATGGAAAATATCTTTGTTAACTTGAATCTTGGAGTCTTTTCATTTTTTTTCTGAGCAATGTAAACACAATATGCATGGAGAGTTTTGTTATACTTTTTTCTTAATGGAAAGTAAGAAATTTATTATCTACTTGAGCAGTCAAATAAACATTTAAGATTGAAATTATATTTCTTTAGATAAATTAACTTTGAAGATTCCTTGGAAAAACCTTTATGGAGAAGCAGTTGTTGCTACCCTCGAGGGATTATACCTGCTTGTTGTCCCTGGAGCAAGTATGTCATTTTATGTATATCAGTAACATCACAATGAAATTAATTGTTACCTAAGTAACAAAAATTGGGCTAAGTATTTTAATGTATTTAGTAAGCTAGAAGGTAATATAAATAAACTAATCACATATATTTATGCAAAATACACATCTTACATATGTATGTATGCTACATTGTCACATTTATTTATAAAATATTTTTTGTTATTGTTGAAAACAGAGTAAATTCAGCCTATTTTAAAATTATGATGTTCTCTATGTGTAATTATTTTGCATCTAACACTTCCTGTTGAGATGCATTAGACAGATTAGAGAATGTAATAAATTTAAAAGATGTACTAGATAAAAGGGTATATGTATTTTATGATTGCTGGTACATATTCTTGAATTACTTTGAAAGTCTTTTTTATCAACCTTTATTGATACCAGGTGGTATTGGATATGAAATTATTTTGGGGTTTACTAAAATTTTTTATAACTCAGATAATAACTGACAATAGTCTGATATATTTTCTGTCTTCCTTTTGTTTCTGTTTTACTTACTTTCTCTTTTCCACCTTTTCCTCATCTTCTTTTTCCTTATAAGCTTTTCTTTCCTTCCTTCTTTTTGATGTTTTATAAGAAAATGGTCTTCATTAATGTTTAAACATTTTGTAAAACTAAGAATGCATAAGTTGGGGCTGGGGTTGGGGCTCAGCGGTAGAAAGCTCATCTAGAACATGCGAGGCCCTGGGTTCAATCCTCAGCACAACATAAAAATAAATAAATAAATATATTGTGTCCACCTAAAAAAACCTAAAAAAAAAATGTATGTATGTATGTATATGTGTGTGTATATATATATATATATATATATATATATATATATATAAATTTTTTTAAAAGATATTATGTCCAACTATAACTAAAAAATAAATATTTAAAAAAAGAATGCAGAAGTGTTTTTCAGGTTTAAAAACAATTTTTGTATATGATTTATGCAATTAGGCTGAAATTTTTCCACTTAATTACTTACTAAATCCACTTCTTCTTATACAATTAACTGTGTATTTTAGGTATTAAGTATGATGCTGAGAAGGAAGACAAATCTTTGCAGGATATTAAGCAGAAAGAACTTTCCCGAATTGAAGAAGCCCTTCAAAAAGCAGCAGAGAAAGGTATAGTAAATTTATGTTTTAGGTAATATAAATATTCCTATATATTTTAGATATATTTAATGCCCTTTAAAGAGGATGCTTTCATAAGCCTTCTTAAGCTGTAGTTCTAAAGAATCTTCTTTTAAAATTATATTTCAAGATGTTGATTATAAACTTTTAAAGAACTACATTTAAGACTTGACTTTTTCTGTGTGATTTTTCTCTCTGCCAGTTTGTTTTTCACACTTTTCTTAACCAGTCATTTTTACTATGCTATCAGAAGACTTTCAAATTCTATAAATTCTTGCAGTTTTGGTCAAGCCCTAAGAATTTCTTTGGATGCATTTTTACCTGTGTTCTTGCAAGATAATGAGTTTAAGTACATTATTACAGTGAAATATGTTCAGTAGAAATTCTCTTGTCATTCTAGTTCTAGTTGTCTCTCTTGATATTGTTTGGGATATTTAAAAAAATTTGACTCTTTCAGTATCAATGTTTAAATATCTTGCTTTAAGTTTTAATTTTTGTTTTTATTGAAAGAGATCTGAGGATTTGATGGTTTAAATTTTGATTTTGGCTTATAATGTAAGAATGATGAGAAAAAAGTCTGTAGAGTGATGAGTTGGACTTTGCTAAACATTCAGTTTATTTCTTACTATATTAAGATAAATTATTTTTCCTTAATTGTTAAGAAATATAGTAACCTCAATTTGCATTTCAGTATTCTTTTCTAATTTTTGTGGATATAGGTCACATATTCATATTATAGTAGTCATGTGAATGATAAAAGATAACCCTGACCTTTAGATGCTTTACATTTTGACATTATTAATTAATAGTTATTGCTTAGTTGCTTCTTTTCAGACTTATTTTTCTACTTCTTTCTTGATTTAAAAGCATGAAAGCACTATTGCACACATGTAGGGACTCAGGAAGAAGAGAAGATGATTAAAGTGTAAACAGCAGTACATGAAAGTAAAAATAAAATCCTCATGCTGATTTGCTCTAAAAAAGTATTTTTATTTATTTCACTTGCTAAACTGGAGTGTTGCTTAATATTATGGAAAAAAATGAAAATATAACTGTGATTTCATTTTTGAAGATTTAGCTTTAACAAACTCTTTGATAGTTTTTTCCTTTCATTTCACTGGAGTGAGTTTATTTTCTTGTGAAGGCTATCATAAAGGGAAAGCTTAATCCATAGTAAAGTCAGAAGATTACTAAATGCTAGATTCTATATCTGCAATGTTAATTTTATCAAAGTAATATATTTGCACACTTAAAAATGAAATAGTTTTGCCAAAAAAACTTAGGATAAAAAATGGTAGTCCCCTTTTACTACTCTTCTGACCTGCTCCTTAAAGGGAACTGTATTTTTTGCAATATTAACATTCTATCATTATCTATTTTATTAATCTAAGGAATTATCTAGGACTTCCAAGATAATTAGTAGTTAAGGAGTTTATGTCTTTGTCTCCTTTCACCACAGATTTCTTCTTCTCATAATATGGATATATCATAGTTTTTGGCCAACTACTGATGATATTTACATTATTAGGGCATTATGATATACTATGATTATATCTTCTTTCTTATGTAGTCTTTGTTTTTTTTCTTGAATTGTAAGAGCTTTCTTTTTTATTTGCTTATACACATACACACTCACATACACATATTTATTTGAACTGGGGATTGAATCCAGGGCATCTGGTATGCTAGACATGCGCTCTACCACTGAGCTATAGCCCCAGCCCATGAGTTGCCCAAACCCATCTGTTGGCTCTCTCCACCTACCCCTTTTTTTTCTTGAGTTCTTCCTCTGCACTGGTTGCTTTTAGGCCAGCTACACAGTTTTCATCTTGGGACCAATCCTCCTTGCTTCTCTGTGTTTAATTCACTCTTACTTGGGTCTTGGGTCTTTTTCTTTTTTCTAAAATTACTCCTTTTTTTTTTTTTTCTGGAGCACATCTAATAGTTTTTAAGTAAGTATGCACTGCATATAATTTTGACAATTCTTTCAGAGCTGGATGCCTATATGATTTACTTTTCTACTTATGTTGTCTGGGGATACAATGCTAGGTTAAAAATTAGAATTTTTAAGGCAATATCCTCTAGTATCAGTATCCTGGATAGTTTCATGCCAGTCTGCTCTACACATTGTTGGAAACACAAAAATTAGAAAATCCTTGGACTTGAGTATCAAGGACTTTACATTTTAACTGAGCAAATAAGACATAATGATAACTAGGATAAAGTGTTGAGTTCCATCAAAGAGGTACAGATAGAATGTTAAGAGCATTCAGAATGAACATTCTGGGTTCAGCGAAAGAGATCAGGGCAGATGCTATGAAGTTATATATCCAGCCGAATATTAACAATATGGAAAGGAGAGTGGATAGTGAAGATGGAAAGTGTAGAGTATCTGTGGAGAACAGCTGACACTTTGGGAGTTTGTTGTGGTGTGTTTGGATATAAGGTTGGAAAGCTAGTGTAGGTAAATTTGAAGAGATTTAAATGTCCTTATGATGATGATAAAATGATACTGACAATGATAGCTGACACTTATTGAACACTTAATATTTTCCAGTCACTCTTCCAAGTGTTTTCTATGAATTAACTCATTTAATAGGTGCTGTTATTGTTTCCATTTTATGGGGGAGTATGTTGAAAGTTACATAATTTGTTCTAAATCACATAGGGAAAGAATGGCAGAGCTAGGGTTGAATCCAGTCTGGCTGTAGATCATATATTCTTAACTCTGCAATAGTGAACTTTAGTCTGTAGCCAGTGGGGGAGTTAGTAACTTTTCTCCTTTCCCTTTTTTAGTAATATAGGGAATTGGCCACAGTGGGTATGCCTGTAATTCCAGTAGCTCCGGAGACTGAGGCAGGAGGGTGGTAAGTTCAAAGCCACCCTCAGCAACTTAGCGAGGCCCTGTCTCAAAAATAAAAAAATTTAAAAAGGGTTGGGGCTGGAGTTGTGGCTCAGTGGTAGAGCACTTGCCTAGCATTTGCAAGGCACTGGGTTTGATTCTCAGCAACATATTAAAAAGTAAATAAAAAATAAAGGTATTGTGTCCATCTACAGCTAAAAATATTAAAAAAAAAAAAAAAGGGCTGGGGATGTGGCCCAGTGGTTAAATGCCCTTGGGTTCAATCCCTGCTATTAAGAGAGAGAGAGAGAGAGAGAGAGAGAGAAAGAGAAAGAAAAGAAATCTAGGAAGCCACTAATCAGAGCATCAGAGCTGTGATTTTGGAGGTTAAACTTGCAGTGTCTAGGTTAGGTTGGATTTGGGACAGAAATAGTGAATGCTATATAGCCATCATTAATAAGAATGAATATAGAGGGTTCTTGAGTGTATCTGAAGCAGAGGACTAAAGTAAAATGAAGTCATTTCACCTAACTCAATGTCAAATATTACATAATATTTTTTTTCCAAAAAATGAGCAAAATGGCAGGCAAAAAGAGAACCAAAAAGCAAATTTTTGTTCTATTTGAAATTTTGTTAAAGATTTCAAGGAGCATTAACTATAATTGATATTTGCCTACCTTGCTTAATTTGAAATAAGAAATTATAATTTTAATTATTAAGAATTTTTGTTTTAATATTATGAAAACAAAGTTTGTATGTTGAAAGAATAAGAATGGTGTTACTGTGAATATTAGAAATAAGTGGTTTTGTTGTCATTAATTATCTTGCTACATGATTTCTAATTCTATAAAATTAGGTTTAGGTATATCTTACATTTGAGATTAAAGGTGTCTTTTAAATGCTTTGCATTTTGGTTATTGCTGCCATGCGGATGCAGGCGCACATTCAGGGGAGTTCATATATGGCTTGGAAAACTTTGTTTACAAGGACGTCAAGCCTGGTGGGTATGCATGATTAATTATATTCAACTATATACAAATATATTTTTATTCGTGCTTGTGTATAGTGAAGTCCATTTGACGGTGTGCCATCCTTTAGAAAAATATGGAAATGTAATTTATGTCTTCACCGTTTACCATCTTCCCTTTTCCCTACCTTCTGCATCCATCCATTCATTCATTCACTAAGTATTTGAGTGTCTTCTTGTGGCAAGTACATTGATGTCTAGGTTAGGTTAGATTTGGGACAGAAACAGTAAATGCTATATAGCCATCATTAATAAGAATGAATATAAAAGATTCTTGAGTATATCTGAAGCAGGGGACTAAAGCCAGATATGCATGGGTATACAAACATGATTCACTGCTCTTGGGAATCTCTCAGTTTGATCTACATATGTCAATTTTGGACTGCCTTTTTTTCTGATACAGTAATAATTTCTGAATTAAGCAGTTCCTCTCTCCTACAGCAGTGATTTTCAAACTTTTAAAAAGCAATAAAGTGGATTTTGTTTTCAGAGGCGGGAGAGAACAAGACTTTAATCAGAACCTTGATAAGTACTTGTGTTTCTGCTCATATCCTTCTGGATTGTTCACCTTTGTAGTAACTCCAGAGACACCTCTAGACTACTGTCCTATTCAGCATATTGAGATTTGAAACTTCACAAAGGCAAAGTGAAGGCCATTTGCTTTAGGATTTATAGTAGGATTCTTTTATATACTAGGAAGTTGTCCAAATATAGCAATCATTTAAAAATTAATACTTTGATTTATTGAACTTTGTGTAAGTCTTCAGGAACTTTCTATATTAATTTAATGATGAATGAATGGCAAGTGCATTTTATATTTTGTATTTTGTTTATTTATATTTGGATTAGTCACATTTCTTTTTTAAAAATTTATTGATTTTTAAAAAAATAAACAGCAGAATGCATTACAAATTTTATTACACATATATAGCACATCTTTTCATATCTCTGGTTGTATATAAAGTATGTTGGCACCAATTCATGTCTTCATACATGTACTTTGGGTAATGATTTCCATCACATTCCATCATCCTTGCTAATCCCCTGCCCCCTCCCTTTCCCTCCAACTCCTCTGCCCTATTTAGAGTTCGTCTATTCCTCCCATGCTCCCCATCCCTACCCCAAGATGAATCAGCCTTCTTATATCAGAGAAAACATTCGGCATTTGTTTTTTGGGGATTGGCTAACTTCACTTAGCATTATCTTCTCCAGCACCATCAATTTACCTGCAAATGCCATGATTTTATTTTCTTTTATTGCTGAGTAAAATTCCATTGTGTGCATATGCCACATTTTTTTTTATCCATTCATCTACTGAAGGGCATCTAGGTTGCCTCCACAGTTTAGCTATTGTGAATTTTGCTGCTATAAACATTGATGGGGCTGTGTCCCTGTAGTATGCTGTTTTTGAGTCCTTTGGGTATATATAGACTGGTAGAGCACTTGCCTAGCATTTGCAAGGCACTGGGTCAAATGGTGGTTTCATTCCCAGATTTCCAAGGAAACTCCATACTGCTTTGTATTTTGTATTTTAAACATTAAACATTCTGTTAGAGTTACATCTGCAACTATCGACTTCTTTAATATGTAGATTCATTTTGATAAATGGAAGAAGAATTTGCATGGCAGATTCACAGCATTAAGTACCTTGAAAGCAGTTTCCCTTCTAACATATTTACCCCTTTAATAAGTGTGTTTGACTATGTTGTCTTATAGTTACTTTAATATAAAAGGTATCATGGAGATACATACTGTGTAATTTTGTAGGCTATAATTGAACCAGTTTTCTGTAGTCTGCTACTGTGTTTTCTGATCCTTTTAGAAGTAACCTACCCCTAACATATAAATGAATTCCAGTGACCCATTCAAATATCTTAACAAAATCTCTGGTCATTGTTAAAAAATAGCAGAACAAGGACACTTATAAAGGAAAACCTAATTAAGTTGCTAATTAATTCAGTTTCCTTTTTTTAAAAAAATCCTTCTTTTTAGTTATACATGACAGTAAAATGTATTTTGACATATCATACATACATGAAGTATAACTTCCTGTTCTTGCGGTTCTACATGATGTGGAGTTACACTGGTCATGTATTCATATATGGACCTAGGAAAGTTATATCAGATTCATTTTAGTATCTTTCCCATTCCTATCCCTCTATTGAAACTCTACCCATCCAGTGAACCTCCCCCCATCCAGTGAACCTTCATTCCTTCCTCTGCCCTTTTTAAAAGGTGCATTAGCATGGATTAAAATGAGGCTCAGAATGTTGGTGATTCTACAATGACAATAGTTAATTTTGTTTATGATATCTTCATTGGCTAGGATTTAATATATACTTCATAATCATTTCCTCTTTTTAGTTTCTGAGTGTATATTCTTTCCTCATTTGAATTTAGTTTTTTATTGTCATTGTTTCTGTTTTTCTTACCTTAGAGCGGTGGTTCTTGAAACAGTTTCATAATAATCCTATGACATTATTGGATTTTTAACTGTGCTGACATTTGCATTGCTTGTACAGAGGCAGAGGTTAATAAAATTGCTGGCTGCCTTAGTGTGATTCAAGACAGTACACCAGACTGTACTGGTAGTCATTATATTCTTCACTACCATCCACTCAGAGTACACAAAAACCAAAATAAATGTCAATTTTACTGAAAAACTTTCTTTATATATTAGGAAAAATTTAATATTAATGAACTTTAACTCTTGAGTGTATGTCTCTTTAGTATTCCATGAAACAAAAGAGAATAAAAACACTTCTGCACACAGAAGGATGTTGACTATCTCAAGGAAAAGAAGTTGCATTTGATTGAGTTATGAGCTGAACTAGTTGCTTTTTTAAGAAGGTTATTTTTACTTGATAGAATGCTGTCATTCAGATTTGGATATGTGGTAGACACTTCAGCAAAACAACTTTAAGTAAAATCAACTAGTAATATTTGTTGCTAATGATAAAATTTGAGCTTTTTGAGGAGAAATTAGAACTTTAGAAAACTTGTATTTGTCACCTTGAGCTGGGCAGCTTCCCAGTCTTTAAAGACTTTCTGATGAGATTCATGCTGATCTTAACAAATGTGACTTCTGATGTTAAGTAATGAAATGATTCAATATTTGGAAGATTTGCCTAATTCAGTTAAGCAAAATTTCTGTATTAACAATGAATGATAAAAGGTCATGCATGTGTAAAAGGCTCATTTAAAATGTAAGATGGGCCATTGGTTTTTTTTGGAGGAAAAATTCATTTACAAGGTTTCATATTCCATGATGGATCTACCTTTTACAAACTGCCATTTGTTGAATTTTGATGTCATGTTCGTAGATATAAAAAGGCCTTGAAAATACTCTTCCCTTTTCTGGTTGTATATCTGTAGTTAAATCAGACTTTAATAATATACTTCTCCAAAACCACATACCTCAACAGATTAAAGACAGAAGGTGGTATGTGAATCCAGCTGTCTTCTCCTAAGCCATATATTAAAGGGATTTGTAAGAAAGCAAAGTGATTATGAGTCTTCGTACTATAATTGCTTGGAAATATGTAATTATTTTTCTTAACTATATGCTATCTATGTGATGATGAAATGGTTTGTTGATTTTAATTGAATTAACAAAAATATTTTAAAAAATTCTCAATTTCTGGTATGGTAAATATCAATAGTTATAATCCATATAAACGAAAAGCACTTTAGAATCTTTAGGTTTTAAGTGTGACAAAGGGTTCCAAGATCAAGATATTTGGAAACTACTTTAGAGTATGATTGAGAATCATCATTTACTGTTCATCATATTTATTAGACTATTTCTTTAAAGAGCTATGCAGTGCTCAGCTTAGTTTTGAACCTATTTGGAAAGGTCTAACATGGTGCATCTAACATTGGATCAAAAACAGAACATAGGGATAGAACAAATGTGTAACTAGAAAGATGACAAGTTAGATCTGAAGAGAATCAGAATCTGTCTCTAAAAGCAATTCTAGCCAAATGAAATTGTTTTGGGGGGTTATTCTGATTTGTCCTTTTTCAAATGGTATTTCTTGGAGAACTCAGTCTCATAAATAAACTCAGTATGTTTAATTTATGACTGGAATAAAATTAGGGACTGTCCTTGTGGCAAAAAACAATGATATTAGAACTGTCCAGATTCTTTTTTTTTTTTTAAAGAGAGAAGAGAGGAGAGAGAGGGGAGAGAGAGAGAGAGAGAGAGAGAGAGAGAGAGAGAGAGAGAGAGAGAGAATTTTTTAATATTGATTTTTTAGTTTTTGGTGGACACAACATCTTTATTTTATTTTTATGTGGTGCTTAGGATCGAACCCAGCGCCCTGCGCATGCCAGGCGAGCACGCAACCGCTTGAGCCACATCACCAGCCCTAGATTCTTTTATATATTTATTAAATATTTTTTTTCTTGAAACTCAGGTTTTAGTCTTGTAATTAGAATTTGATTCTTAACTTTACAATAGAGAAGTTTGCAGGTATAAAGAACAAATTGGAAATTTCAAGCTAAATTTCACATGTATTCTCTGAAATTTAAATAATATTGAGTTTGTATTTTATTAGAATGTTCAAGTATAGATTTTAAAAATTCATTTGAACAGGTATATATTGTGTACTTTATGCCCAGACATTAATTAATCCCTGTCCTAAAGGAAGCTTCCTGCCTGGTGGCAAGAGAATTGTACAGATATTTCAAATACAGTGTAATCATTGTTTATTGGAATTTTATATAAGATGCAGATCCTAGAGCTGCTTTGAGGAGTTTAAAAGGTTTCATAATAAGCAGCAGAGCTGGACCTGAGATTTGGAAACCTAGAAGTTTGCCTAGTAAAAAAATTCAGGAAAGGCAGCCCAAGTTTAGGGAACCATGTGTAGAAAGGCATTAGGCATTAGAAAGTATGGCTTGTTTTGGAAAGTTGAAGTATTTTTTTGGTAGTTTCTAGTACAAGGATGAATGGCAGGACCTTTTGTGCCATGCAGATACTTTTTGATTTTATATGGCTGGCTTCAGAGAGCCTCTAAATGATTTTGAAGACGGGATTAACAATCTGTGAGTAATATTTTAGAAGACATTCTGGTAGCAGTGTGGAAGGACCTTAAATAGGAGATAAGGATGGAGATTAGAGGACAGGAGACCATTCAGAGACTGCCTCAGAGTTCTAGAAGTGACGCCTAGTAGGCAATTGAATATAAAGATTTGGAAATTGGGTAAGACAGGTGTTGGATAACACCAAAATACACTGAGGCAGTGCCAAATAAAAAGAGGATATAATTTTAAAGTAATAACAACTAATTTAAAAACAGTTCAATGTATAGTTTATGCTCTTATATTGTTTATATCTTTAACTAATTAAATAATTTTGTTTTTGAAGTATAGCATCCAGAGGAGTTCATCTGTTGGCAACATACTCATTCATTTCATTTATGTTCCTTTTGTCATTATTACATTTCCAATATTTTGATTACAGACTCAAATTGAAATGAAACTTCGTATTGTAAAGTTATATATATTACAGAGATCATTGCAAATGGATAGTTTATCCAGTTTTTTTTATAATTTCACCTGCCAAATTATTTTGTAGATTAAAGTAGGTTATTCTTTACTGAAGAATGTTTTTCTAGACCAAAGAAAGTTTGTGAATCTGTGTTTGTATTAAAATAATAGATCAGTTTAGAATAAGGTAAAGTAAGTTGTACCAGAATTTGCTCTCAGGAAGAATTCTCTTATTTTCTTTTCTGTCCTCTTGTCTGCTAACATGAATTTTATCCTTTTCTCACTAAAATGCTTCCACTGAGAAGGACGTAAGCGTAAAAAGCACAAAAAACATTTTAAGAAACGTTTTAAAGGTCTTGATCGCTCAAAAGGTAGGTAAAAGTAGTTTTTATGCCATGTGTTGTTTATACACACTGCCACTTGATTTCTGTGTTGGAAGGCAAAATTAATGTTAGATTACAGTTTAACTTCAAAAGTAAGTTTTAAGTTGAAATGCATATTAAAATCTAAAATCTAAAAAAAAATAAAGACACTAGAATAGGCATAATTTCCATTGAGTAGTATCCTAGCTCTCCTTTGGTCATTGCTTGTAATGTATGTGTGAATTTCAATTCTTGAGCTTGTATTTTTCTATTTTTTAACAGATAAGCCAAAAGAAGCCAAAAAGGATACATTTTTGGAAAAATTGGCAACACAAGTAATAAAAAATGTACAAGTAAAAATCACAGATATTCACATTAAATATGAAGATGATGTAAGTTATTTCAGATTATTTGGTTTAAGATAGTAATTAGATATAATATTTAATGATTTCTTCATTTTTCATATAGGGATTACTTGTACCCAATTTAAATCTAAGATTGATTTCTGTCTTTGAAGTATGTTATCATATGTCCTGTGGTGGGCTGCTTTTATTTGCCATCTCCAGATGTAAATATAGCATAAAATTATCATGTGGATTGACCTCTATTTTTTTTTAAATTTGTTTTATGTGTTAATAATACTTATAATGTTAAATAACTACTTTTCTTTTTATATTGACAATAAAATTAGTTCCAAAAGGTGATGAAATAATCAGTGGTCATGGTAGTTGGCAGAAAGGGGTCTAAAACCCTCCTCACTTGACTACAGTCTTGTTCTCTTTACATTTCATATAGTTGAACTACTCACAGCTACTTACAATATATTTATAAACCAAACTTTACAATATCAGTTGACTAATAACTGTGTGTATGATTAGTTTAGTTAGAATGAGATCCCTTGATCTTAATATGTATTGTTCTTTAAAAGTTTGAAACATATGAAAGAAGCCTTGAATTTTGTCATTGACCTAGGAAATTAGAAATGTTATTCCATCTCTTCTAAAAATGAATTTGCATTTTTATATTAAATTTGTCTTAAGTTTAAATTGAATTAAAGCAGTGTGGACATACTAGAGTTTATTTTCCTTCCCCAGTCCTCTGTATAACTTAGTATTTAGTAAGACACACTTGTAGTTTTTTTTTAAATTATATTTTATATTGATATTATCTTTTTGGTTTTAAGGTGTTATTAAAGTGAATTTTGTTAACAAACATTTAACAGAAATCTAACTTCTAATGTCCATGTTCATAACAAACTCAGGAAAATGTGCTCAGCACATCATGGAAGTAAAAGAATTATTGCTGAAACTATGTGGAGAAATGGGGACCCTTATACACGGTTGGTGGGAATATAAATTATACCTAATTTTGGAAAACTGTGGAGGTTTCCTTCAAAAATGAAAAATAGAATTACCATAAGATACAGCAGTTCTGTTTCTGGGTATATATTAAAAGAAATTGAAATAAGTATTTGGAAGAGATGTCAGCAGTTACATATTTATTCTAGTGCTATTCATAGTAGCTAAGATATGGAGCACTTGAAGTGCCTCTCAGTGGATAAAGGGAATGTTGTACACAGGAAATACTGTTCAGCCTTAAAAAAAGAAGGCAGTTTTGTCATTTGCAGCAATATGGATGGAACTGGAAATCATTACATTAAATGAAATAGGCTGTATTGAAAGACAAATACTGCAAGATAGATGGAATCTAAAAAAACTGAACTCAGAAGTAGAGAGTAAAAGGATGGTTTACAGAAATTGGGGACAGAAAGAGAAGAGGTGGGTCAGAGGGTACAGAGGTTTGGTTAGATAGGAGGATTAAGTTCTGGTATTCTGTTGTACTGTAAGTTTATTATAGTTAATAATAACAATGTATATTTCAAAATTATAAGAATAGATTTTAAATGTTCTCATCAGAAATAAACGGTAAGTATATGAAGTGGTGGGTATGTTAGTTACTTCGATTCTTACATATTGTACTCCATAAATATGTAATTTTTATTTGTCAATTAAAAAACAAAAACCTCCTAATGACATATTAGTGAATGGGAACATTAATTTGAATCTAAACTGAGCTGTCTCCTGACTGAATACAATTAGAAAGGTACATTATTTCTTTTTATTTAATTAAAAAATAGAGATGCACAAGAGTGGGATAAGTAACATCAGTCATTTAAATTGCTGTCAGTGACCAAATGTATTAAAATAATTTAAAAGTAATGAAATTAAAAAGAACAAATGATTCTTGTATTTTATTTCTTTCAATGTGATCACCTTAATTATTGTATCTAGAAGGCTATGCGAAATATAGAATGTAAGAAATGGGAAAAATAAAATAATTTATCATAAAGATGCTCATTAAATAATTGCTGTAATTTTTTTATACCTTTATTTAATTTATTTATTTTTATGTGGTGCTGAGGATCAAACCTAGTGCCTCACACATGCAAGGCAAGCTCTCTACCTTTGAGCCACAATCCCAGCCCCTAATTGCTGTAATTTTTAGGTAGTATATTAGCAACTGTGGAGTTGGGATTTGTTAAAGTTCCTTCTAAAATTGCAGCAAGTTGTTTTGAACCAGTCATCTTTTGGTGTAAAGATGAGTGTAGGAAAAAAGGAAAATGTTTTACTACAAATCCAGAGATCTGATATTAATGACAAAATCAGGCTCATAAAGCTGTAGTGCTTTTCCCTTAAGCCAGTGTGTATGTGCACATATCCTCTTTGACAAAGGTCCATGTGACAAAATTTGAGCTCCAGGTGGGTAGTTTAGAAAGCTATTCTTCCTCTCACCCTACTTTTCCAAATTTCTGTCAGAAGCAGATAGTTCTATGGCTTGAGCATCTTTGGGATGGCTCAGACAGTAAGCTGGACACACTGTGGTAGTTTAAGTAGTATGTATAAACAAAGCCATGATACTGAAGATCAGAAACAACAGCAGCTTCACATTGGTAGGTTTTGGGTGAAGTGATTGAGGAAATTAAATATTACAATCTAAGAGTTTTTCCTAATAAAGCATTTTTGAAATTTCCAGAAATTAAAGGTTTAAAAAGACAGTTCACATTTCCAAGTGTGAACATATTAAATGTTTTAAAAATTATTTAGAGGCAGTGTTATCTGTAGCACCTTGTTTTATGTAAGAAGGACATCTTTAATGAGATAGAAGGACTGTCCTCTTTCAGCTATCTAGAGAAGAGTCTCTTTAGTCATAGTTACTGTATCCTCTTACTTTTTGTAAGAAAAAGATTTCCACTGGGAAATATTATTTTAGTATTGTACCTGTAAAATATTGATACTGCCACCCATATTATTCTTTCCTCTCCTTTCTTTTCCACACGTACAGTTGGGTTGTATGACTTGTTTGTAAACAGTTCTTCTGCTGACTATTGTAAAGGGTAGAGCATGGATTTGTCCTCACCATAGGTATATTTAAGTGTCCCTTTTTTTTGGTAGGTCACTGATCCAGAGCGGCCTCTTTCATTTGGTGTCACATTGGGAGAATTTAGTCTATTGGTAAGGAACGTGTAAATTATTATTTCAAAGTTACAAGCTGAATTGCCTAGAATCAAATATTACCACAGATAGATATTATAATTAAAAAAATTTTAGACATCAGTGGATCTTTATTTTATTTATTTATTTATGTGTGGTGCTGAAAATCAAACCCAGAGCCTCACATGTACTCTACCACTGAGCCACAACCCCAGCCCAGATATTAAAAATTTTATGAATTATCTTGATGTAGCTTTCTAAAAGTTTAACATTTTTAGTGATGCTGTTGCTACATTTTCTAATTATTTTGTCTTTCATTAACATATCAAAATATCAATATCAAATTATTTGAAAGGAATAAAATCTGTAATCTAAATATGTGAGAAAAGTTGGGTTAGACAAATTACTATTGAATTATGTACTCAAACTTGGTATTGGAGGGTGGTATAAGTGGAATACACCCCCCAAATAGCTTATACAAGTATAGGTGTATATGTGTGTGTGTGTGAGTGTGTGAGTTACGTGGGGTTGTATGTAAAATTATTCATTTTGATAAAGTATTTTATAATGCAGTTTGCTTTTTCTCTTAAAAGTTCTTATGGGTAGAGAGTTATTCATATGAAGAATGGACATTGTTTTCATTATAGGCAATTAAATGATGGGAAACATGTTTTGGGACATATAAATGAAGGAAAATAGCTAGATTAGGTTTTTCTATGGAGGAAAAATGTGGTTCACTTAAATACTTTCAAAATTAAGGGTAGTGAGCAATAAATCATACTGCTCACAGTTTGCCTGATGATTGGTTAAATGCAGAATGTTTCAGGAAGACATGAGAGGAAGAAAAATGGAAAGGTGGTGAACTGGCAGAGAAGCACAAGGACAGAATTAGGTGGCAACCTTAAGAATGATATGTGCATATAGAGAAGTACAGATTGATGTTGAGGCAAGAGCAACAAAGAAAAAGAGCTAGAGAAACAAAAGAAAGGGAGTCAGGAAGCTAGTGTTTCAGATACTGTTTATCCAAAAAGCACTTGAAGTAGCTTTTGATAAGGCATAGAAATATACAGTAATATCTCATAAAAGACCAGAATCTGAGTTCTGTGGTGATTGTTCCAGAAAACTTAGTCTAACAATAGTGGCCATAGGTGAGAACAATATTTAACTTCAGGTGTCTAACAGACAAAATAAAAAGTACAATATAGCATGTACTTCCTGTAGTCTAATGGGCAGAGTAGTGTGTGAGTGTAGTTTCCATAGTGTGTGCTGTTGTGCTCTCTGCGTCTTTGCTTAGACTCTTTGTACTGTTTTATTTGCCTGTTTTATTCTCTTTGTCTGCCTAGTGAGTCTACTCAGGTTTTAATGCATATATGAGTTATTCTCTTGTCTCTCTCATTCTTTTTTTTTTGTTGTTGTTGTTGTTGCTGTTCTCTCTTAGAATTTATCATTCCTTTTTTTTATGCTCCCCATTGCATTTTGTAAAAGACCTGTAACGTACTGTTATACTGGTTATATATATGTTGATCTCCTTCTAGGCTACATTTATTTAGTGATACAGTAGTACCTACCTTTTGGTGTTTTTATGATGATTAAATGAGGTACGTTATGTGTAACACTTGTTACATTTTTTTTTGGCTAAGCTACTTCAAGTACAAGTGATTATTATAATGACAATAACAGGAAACCTTCTACCTGCTTTTTATCCACGCCTTTCTTTTCCCCTATTTTTCCAAGTACAATCTAACTTTTTAAAATCTAAAGTATTCTTCCCACCTCTTCTCAGGATCTCATCGTCCCCCTTATCCTCAAGAATCTATTCCTTCTTTCCTTCCTCCTTCTTTGCATCAATCTCCCTCTAGGACATTTCCTGAGTATTCAACTAACACTCTCTCCTACCCTCCCTGACTCTCCCCTCAGACTCCTTCTTGCAAGCATTTAAACACATTCAGATGTCTTCTGACACAATAAAAAGTCTTAACCATCCATTACCTCTCACAAGCTGTGTAACTATTGCCTTCCCTTTCTCTGCAGTCAGATCTTTTGAGAGTTTTCTACTTGTGCTAGCTTCTTTCCCCACTTTCCAATGATTCTCCCGCTGCTCCTCCATAGAAACCATGGTTAGCAAGTTCATTAGTAATGCCCCTGCTGTTAAATAAGTCAGTATTGGCTTTGCCACCCTCAGTGTCTTCTGGAAACATGGTTGTGCTGATTTCCATACTGTCTTCCTACTTTACAGTCACTTTTTTTTTTTTTTTTTAATAATGTGTACCTTCTTACTAGTTCTAGTTCTCTGTTTTAATTCATATCCAGTTCTTTCCACAGTTCAGGCACATAGTAGCCCAATAATTATTTTCTGAATGAATAAACTTCATTAAATTAGAACATCCTCAATTCTGTTTTTCATTGTCCTTTTGATTTGCTATGTAAATAGATAAAGAAGCCCCTAACTTCAGTAACATTTGTTAGATAGATGTCTTTTATTCCTACATTATTTTGCTAATCTTTACAAATAATAGAGAACTGTTGTGTGACATATCACATTTCACAGTTATTTTGTGTGTGTTTTTTTTAGACTACAAATGAACACTGGACTCCATGCATATTAAATGAAGCAGAAAAAATTATATACAAGGTATTATATTATCATTAGAATGTACATTTCTTTTTAGTTTCCTGGCTGTAAGTACTTGATATATTTTCTTGAAGAAACTTTGGTGGAACAGAATTTGCTATTGATGTGAATTAAGCCTAGAGTCTAGTTTTGGCTCTGCTTCATACTAACTATATGACCTAATATAATTGTTTACATACTCTGAAGTTTAGGTTCTTCACCTAACAAGTGAAGAAACTGGATAAAATATTTCTCAGTGGAATTTTAAGAAGCAACAAGTAATTGAGATATTATGAGATGTTACAGAAAAAATATCCTCCTGTTATTACTTATTAAAGTTCTAAGCTAAACGTAATTAAACAGGTGTATTTCAGTTTGTTTTAAACTACAGGACTTATAGTACTTTAAATATGCTAATAAACACTGTGTATCTCCAATAAGGATCTGTATTTAATCCGTAGCTTTTTCTATCTTGTTAATCATGGAATCTCCTCCAGCATCCTCTTCTGGAAATAGCCATTGGTATTTGCCCGGAGGGATCATGTCTTTCTTTTTAAACAAAATGCTTATCAGGTCTGTTAAATGCTAAATTTCCAATAAATATTTGATAATTGAGTCTCTTGGAAATTGTCCTCTTGGAAGTCCAATTTAGCAAATAGTATACTTACAAATAAAGTCTATGTATATATTTTGCCTCATTTTTGCATTACTTTATTTCCTTTAAAAGTTGAAAGTTGCAGCTGGGTAATTCTGGAGTAGTGAACATGAGAATAATCTTATGTTGATTTATGATTTCATTTTGTTTGTTGCTTTGACCTCTTTCGTTTTTGTTTTATAGCTTATACGGCTGGATAGTCTTAGTGCTTACTGGAATGTAAACTGCTGCATGTCTTACCATGGATCAAGGGAGCAGATCTTGGTAATTTCAAATCATTCCTGGAAAAATAACCTACATTCTCTAAGTGTGTTTAATAAAACAGGTTCTTAATGACGACAGAATACCAGTCATTTGTTTAACTGGTACATCACTAAATGTGAAAAACATTTTTTGAAATTCACTGTGTGTCTTCAAAAAAACACTTTTGATTTTGAGGGTATTTGCAAAATCATTCAGTAGATGGTGATGTGAGAATCAAGGTAAAAACTTCATTATGGTCTTTTGGTGGTATTCCTGTTACATCGAGGTATTTCATATGAGAATGATTAAGAGTATTAGTAAGAAAGAAGGTAACTTTCAGATCTAAAGCGTATATCCTTGGCCAGTATTTTTAGCATTTGCGATGGTTTCCTGAAAAGTGAGAGATTAATTCAGTGCTTCAGTGTGCTAAGCCAATCTTAATTATGTTTCTTTACTTAGGGGAGAAAGGAATACCAGTTAAATTTTCTGAACTAGTAAATTTCAAGGCTCTATCTCTTTTTCTTAAAGATATAAAAGAGATAATTTGCTTTTGACTAGAAATTTATGGATGTATTTGTATTTGTTTCCAAAGATGTAGAGGAACATAGTATTATGATGTTTCTAGATATTTAGAATGTTTAAAAATTATCTACTTCTTTATCTTTATACTAAAAAATATACCTGTAAATAATGTTTATATTTTTCTCATGAACTCATAGTTACAAAGAAGAATCAGATACCTATGTAAGAACCAAATTGTTTTCTGTTATGTGTCACTGCATATGTGTACATTTTATTTTTCATTTAATTCAGATTTTTTGTTTAGGATCAGTTGAAAAATGAAATTCTTACCAGTAGAAATATACCCCCGAACCATCAGTATAGTAAGTAATGATTATAATTTATTTCATATTATAGGAACAAACATGTAATTAAATACTTTAACATACCTTTTAAAAAACTACTTTGACAAATAGAGCATGTTAATTTTATACCTTACTGTTACGATACAACATATTTGGATTACAACTAATTATTTGGGCCTAGATCATAATATGGATGCCAGTGGAAAATGGGAGGGATGGGCAGTGTAGCTGCAGTTCACTCTGTGCAGCCAGCCTTCTTTGACCAGCATGTTTTCTTCCTGGCTTGACATTGAATTATTTTTGTTTTAGGGCTTTACTCCTTACCCATTGTTTTTGCTTCCTCTCCTCCTTTCCTTCTTTAAAACTCTGAGGTCTGGGTATTCAGAAAAATAACCTACATTCTCTAAGTGTGTTTAATAAAAACGGTTCTTAATGACGACCGGATACCAGTCATTTGTTTAACTGGTACATCACTAAGTCAGAAGTGTGAAAAACATTTTTTGAAATCCCTAGCATATCACTGTTGTGGTGTTAAGATAAACCAACCACTCTAGACATTGTTTTAAGTGAACTACTTTTTTCTGTTTCTTGGCAGCCTCACTTTTATTTTAGAAATAGGTCTCTGAGAAACCTGCCTGCTTGTTTACTACTTCTCTATCCAATTTTTTCCCCCCATTTCAGTTTCATTCTAAAGCTATCAGTTTGCTTTTATTTAGTGTACTCCTTTATGATTGCCCTCAGCTTTTGTATTCATGTCCTTTCATATTCCATATTATTCTCTTCACTATTATTTTCTTCAGGTTCTGTTGTAGTTAATTGCCATTGGATGTTGGGACTTAGAGTCTCTGTTTATAGACTTCTCTATTTAATAACAAATGTTTTCAAGTACTGACAGTTTGTGAGAACATTTAGTTTCATCAATAAAATAACTGGTTCAGAAAAATCTACAACTTTATTCTTAGGTTAGCCTGTTAGTTAGGTTGTTTATACACGATGAAAATTGTAATTATCATACATGGTCACAACTTACATAGTTTTAAGGCTGTCCGGTTAAAATTTATTACCATACTTTGCTCTACATCTACCTTAATATACCTTTTAATATGATTACTCAATTCAAGAATATTTTCTTTTGTTAACTCTAAGATTATATATGTAATGACCATTTTGAGAATCATGAAGTGGTAACGTTTTTCCTGGGATGATTTTATTTACGATTCTGTTCCAAAATTCTGCCACTGATTATTTAATTACATTTTATTTCCTTCCCTATATTGGTATTTTTAATGAATAATAAAGTCATTAAACATCTTGTAGCAAGGAAGAGAAACCTAATTTTATACAGATTAGCTGTGTTTTGAACATTTCTTAACTAGAAATATAGGATTCCAATTTCTTTGCAGATTCTACTTTAATCATAGAGCTTGACAGTTGGTAGTATGCAGATGAGTAGGTACGTAAATATTTTTGCTAGTGATTTTGTTATATATACATATGTATGTTTATTTCAGAGTTCTCATAATTATTTACAGTAATTTATATGCAAGAGCATATAAACATCTTATTTAAGTCTTCCCATGTGATTTAAGTTTTCCAGCCAATATCTGCCTCTGCGAAACTTTACATGAATCCTTATGCAGAAATAGAACTCAAAACACCCAAACTGGATTGCAACATAGAAGTCCAAAATATTGCCATTGAACTAACTAAGCCCCAGGTAAGATTCAGTGGGACACTTTTAGCTTTGATTAGTCTTATTGAGTCTTGATTGCTTTTATCCTTTGCAGTTGTTCTTTCTCTATAATTGTCTGGTGGTTCTTGTGGTTCATTATGTTGAGATTGGAAGCTTCAAAAAAAATTTTTTTTAAAGGAAAAAACCTTCAAATTTAAGAAATATTTTTCTTTATCTGATCTTTTCCTAAATCTTAGAAATTGTATCAAACTAGACAATGGAAATGACATTATTTCCATTTAATTCACAGTTGGTAGAACATTTTAATGTGTTTTTTCCCTTCACAGTTTTTAATAGCAGACACTGTTTATAATAAATATTGTTTCTTTATTTTTAGAATAGCTATGAGGGCAACTCTTTCCTTCTATGTTTCCTAAATGTGGTTATATGCCCAGAGGGTTTGGATAGCACACTTGAAAAAATAAACTGAAAGGAAGACTGGAGATTTCACTATGGCAATTTTAGCCCAGGGCTGTCCAATAAATACAATGAAGTTTGCTTTTGTAATTTTAGATTTTCTAGTAGTTATATTAGCAAAATAAAAAGAAAATTATGAAATTAACTTTAATGATCCATCTTATTTAACCTATCATTTCCAAAATATCATTTCAAAATGTTATCAACATAGAAAATTGTGATGATGTTATATCTTTCCCTCCCCTTAAGTCTAAAATCTATGATATATTTTACACTTTAAGTACATTTAAGTTCAGACTAGACATATTTCAAGCACTGAAGGGTCACATTTATAGGTAATCCTTAGAATTGCATTAGGAAAAATGAGAGAGGAAGAAGCTAGACTTGCATGTTTCTCTAGCCTGAAGACATGTTATCCACTCTTGTGCCTGTATTTCGCTTCAGGTGAATTGTTTGTCAGATCCACACAGTGTTGCTGAATTAGTGGGTGAGATGGGCAATTAAATAGCTTTATCTTTTCAATAGTTTTCTAAAGCATTTTGAAAATCAGCTCTTACATGGCTATTACTGAAATGATGTACCAATGGAAAAACACGTTATTTTAAAAATATTATTTCATATTAGCAGTTACAGGCAGAATATCTCATTATTTTTGAGTATATTTTACATTTTAACATCTCTAAAAGTAGGATACTTATTGTTGGTGATGTGAAAGTTTAATTGGCAACACTTTTTTTTGTAGTGAAGTCTAAAAATTACGTTACAGTGTATAAATGATATTATCTTAAATTTTATTAAATATAGTGTATTATTTTATTTTGATGTCAGAGACTGAACCCAGAGGTGCTCACCCACACTGAGCCTCATCCCCAGCCCTTTTTTTATATTTTATTTTGAGACAGGGTCTCTCTAAGTTGCTTAGGGTCTTGCTAAGATGCTGAGGCTGGCTTTGAACTTGTGATCCTCCTGCATCAGCCTCTGGAGCTGCTAGGATTACAGAGATGTTCCAATAATAGTGTACTTTTGACAATATAGTGCATTTTTGAGTTACCAGGCAACATTGTTTTGGAATCTTGGTAGACTGAAAAATAGAATAAAATCTGGTCTTTATTCATATGTGCAATGTAAAAATATAATTCTGTTTTTGTTTTAATAGTACTTAAGTATGATTGACCTTTTGGAGTCAGTGGATTATATGGTTAGAAATGCCCCTTACAGGAAATACAAACCTTATTTACCACTTCATACCAACAGTCGACAGTGGTAAGTTAGATTTTGTTTATTTTATGAGATACATAAAATATGTTAGGGATTAAATTAAGAGACCTTTAAAACCATGTAGTCCAGCCACTTTTAAAAAGAAACATATAGAAGGAGATGTCTTTGTTAATTTTTTCTAAACACATCCTCTTGTATTCTTGCTCCTAGATTTCCAAATTTTAACTTAGCATTCAGGACTTTCAGTGTTTCAGAAAAATCTTATTAGTCATCACCATGGACTCAGTATGATAAACATGCTGGCATACAGTCATGTGTACTTTAACATTAGGATATATTGTGAAAAATGCAACCCTAAGTACTTTTGTTGTTGTGTGACTATCAGGAGTGTACTTTTACATGAACTAAATCAGTTGTGATGTCACTAGGTGATAACAATCGTGGGACCACCAGGGTTAATATGGTCTGTTGCTTACCAAAAAGTTATTCCACAGAACCTGACTGTACTGTTTTCCATGGTATATGTCATTTTGTGCCTTTATGATTTTGCTTTGCCATATTGCTTTCCTGGAGGGTTTTTTAATTTAATCTATTTGAGAATTTATTGAGGACTGGCACTGTTATACTGAGCTCTTACTGAAAGATAGTAAAGAAGAACAAAAATTTTAACAGTGTAGGAAGATAGGAGAGAAAAAATAAGGGGGAGAGAGAAGGGAGAAACTGTTTCCCTGCTCTTTCTTAAAACTTTAAATGGCTACTAATAAATTTTGATTTTTAGGTGGAAATATGCAATTAATTCTGTTCTTGAAGTTCACATAAGAAGATATACACGAATGTGGTCATGGAGTAACATAAAAAAGCACAGGCAGTTGCTTCAGAGTTATAAAACTGTCTACAAAAGCAAGCTAACCCAGACCAAAGTATCAGAAGAAATACAGAAACAAATTCAGGTATAGTTTACATATAGTAGAGAGAATTATTTTAAAACTCACCCTTTAATATTAATTTTAATGAGTATATAATTTTAAAAAGAACAGAACTCATCTCTTTGAGAGAGAATTTTATAAGAAAATGTATTTATTCTTTTAAACTATCCCCCCTTCTAATAACAAATAAAATAAAATTATTGCAACCAGTGTGAGGAAATGTGTCTGTTTTTTATTATAATACTTAGAAGATAATTATCAAACCTATTTAACTATATGTTTATTAGCTAGTTATGTCTGGTTTGTTAGTGAAAGTGCCATAGTCAGATGGTAGTAACTTTCCTAAGAGTTCTGAGTCTTACTAAAAAATAGCCTTTTCTCCATGAAAAAGGAGTTGTCTTAGCTACCCCCTATTAAAAGAAAACACACTCCAAGTACATAATTTGCTCAATATGATCTGATTTAGATTATAGAAGTTTCTACCTCTGATTCATAATGTGAAGAATGAATTGAATTCCTATTATTCTGAGATATTTGACAGTTACTAATATGACATATTAGAAAAAAAAAACATGAGATTGAAGTCAGGTATTTGAATATTTATCCAGTGTTCTGCTCATGGACACAAATTTCTTACCCTCTCAAGTCTAGTGTTCTCGTACATAAAATGGAAATAATATCTGTTCTACAGAGTTGTAAGAATTACAATAGAAAAATACATGAATCACTGGGAATACAGGTTATCCATTAGATGTTAGATTTTACCTACACACTTTCATATAAATTCTGCAAATCATTTTATCCCTTAGTCTACTTATTAACTTGGAGAATTTGCATCCTTAAATTTTGTGATTATAATGATACCTTTAGTACAATGGTTGCAAAATAATATACAGTATGGGAGAGTAAGAAGGAAGAATCATAAAGTTAATAGTAAAACAAATCACCTTAAATAATCTTATTTCCATGTGCATTTTTGGATATCTATGAATTGCAGTGGTCCCACAGAAAAATTCTGTATGTAATGAGGACTTACTTTCTTGGAAAATTCATTTCTGTTATTGTATAAATTAAAAAATTTAAAAACCTCATGTACATTTCAATTTATACTCTCATTGCATCACAAGTACTGATAATGGACTAGATGAACCTCGAAATCAAAGAAGAAAATAATTTTTCATCTGTTGAGTATTTTCTTTGTTTGAAATTGTCTCTTTCTCTTATAGGACTTGGAGAAGACTCTAGATGTTTTTAACATAATTTTAGCAAGGCAACAAGCACAAGTTGAGGTAATCAGTTTTATTAGTTGATTTATGTTAATATCATTCCTTTCATCCTAGGATAAAGAAGTCTAAGTTTTATGGGAAGCAGTTGAGATTTATGCATATGGGAATAGAGATTAAAGTTTTTTTTGCTTACTTTAGTCTCATGAAAAAACTAAGTGGGAATACTGGCAAAAATCAGTAATATGAAGCAGGGAAATCTTTAAAACGTTTATAACTAAAATTTTGAAAAACCTCAAAAACAAAGTAAATACAAGTCACTCTTCATCCTGGCAACTTAAAGTGCTGCTGCCAACATTTTTACTTGTAGACTTTCAAGTTTTTTTCCCATATCTACTTATTTTTGCCTTTTATGACCTATTGCTTTCATTTTTTCTTTTGTTTTCCCTTGTTTCTTCTTTTCTCCTTTTGCCCCTATTATTTCTTCTCTTTTATTTTCCTTTGTTCTCTTTCTTCCCCAAATTGGAATTGATCTGTTTATAATGGTTCATAGTTGCTTATTAATTGGTACATTGTCCCATGTCATTTCTGGATTTTCTTGGTATTAAAAATAAATGACATATTCATACATCTCATCATAGAAAAGTTACAAAGTATATAGATCAACAGAAGAAAATAGAGATGCTTATTATCACATATATTACTTTATACACAAAAGGTAATTGCTCTTCAGATCTTTCTGTGTATCCTTTGAGTCTTTTTATAGAGAAAAAATTTTACCTTAGAAAAATTTTACTTGAAATTTTAACTATATTGCTAATATAGTGCAGCCTTGTCAAAATGCTGTCAATAGGTATAGAAAAGAAATTAATAGGGGGAACTGTAAATTAACCTAATCATACCCATGAGCATTGTTTAAGAAGGAATTGACTTTCTTGACTGTTTCACTCTAATGTTGTGATAAAAAATTGACTGTTGATGTACCTGAAACTGAAGAGGGAATTTATCCTTGAATCCATTTTTAATTTTTTTTTTTTTTTTAGGTGATTCGGTCAGGACAAAAATTAAGGAAAAAATCTGACACAGGCGAGAAACGTGGAGGCTGGTTTAGTGGGTTTTGGGGCAAAAAGGAGTCTAAGAAAAAAGATGAAGAATCATTAATTCCTGAAAGTAAGTTCCAAGTCAGGTAATTTGTTATAATCCAGTAAAAAATACCAAACCAAAACAACAACAACAACAAAAAAAAAATATGCAGATTACACTTTAGCCTGTTGAATTTTATTTTTAAATACTTTCAAATAAGATCAGCTCTGTACAGTAAACTACAAGCAAATAAGGCAGATTAGATACATAATGTTTAAATTTAGAGATCTCAACATTTAGCATTCATAGTTACCTTTTACATGAATGTTTAATGATAAGTTTCAAGATTCTTAGAGAATTTAAAAATCTTTAAACGAGAACTGAATTTTCTTAACAGCATCTTTTTGCTTTTTAATGTAAATAGACAAATACAGGATCTTTGTTTTGATTAGTCAAAGTAGAATGCTAGAGGAAATTACCTAGCTGACTTTGTTGTAGCATCTGAGTCTGTTGATTTCAGGACACTTATTAGTTTGGTTTGACTTCTTGATTATATCTGGAAAACTGAAGCAATTAATTTCTTAAATTATTATCATTTCTTTGTAGCTATTGATGACCTTATGACTCCAGAGGAAAAAGATAAACTCTTCACTGCTATAGGTTATAGTGAGAGCACCCACAACTTAACTTTACCTAAGCAGGTAATTAGTTAGGTGTCTTAAGAGGTGTTTTGTTTCATTTTATTATATTACCTTGAATTGAGTTATGTAATTTATTGGCGTTTTAAGTAATTAATGAAAATATGTCATTATTAATTTCTACTTTAATTGTTAAGTTCTTCAGGTCAGGTCTTATCAATTAAAATTCTCTCTTCAATTTTAGATTTAGTTGCTATAGTGAATGGGAGAATAATCTGATAAAAATGCCTTTCTATAGTGTTAAACTGAGTCTTTCAAATTTTTTTATTGTGATATATAACATATGTAGATACAGCATATTCAAAGTCAGAATATTCTCCTGCTTATTTGATTGATTAGAAAGGGAAAAGGTATGTAATTACTATTAGTGTCAAGATTTACAAAATTGCCACCATCATAGACACCCCTACATCTTCCCATTATTGCTTCTTCAACAATAACGGTTATCATGATTTTTATGGTAACTGCGTCTTTGATGTCTTTTTGTTTTCTACTATAAACACTGTGATTTTACTTTGAACATTTTTATCTTTCTGTGAAGGGCCTCATAAAATATGTATTCTTTTGTGTCTGGCTTTGTTGTTGTGAGATCATCCCCCCATTTATTTATTTTTTATTTATTTATTTATTTTAAAAATTTAGTTGCTCAAGACAATACAATGATCTTGACATATCATACATTTGATTCAAAAGGGGTATGAATTCTCATTTTTCCATGTGTACAGATTGCAGGATCACATTGGTTATACAGCCACGTATATACATACAGCAATACTAGTGTCTGTTGTATTCTGCTGCCCTCCCCATCCCCCCTCCCTCCCCCTCCCATCACCTCTCTCTACCCAATGTACTGTGACACACTTCTCTCTCTTTTTTTTCTTCCCCCTCACACCATCATATATGTATTTTGTATAACAATGAGGGTCTCCTTCCATCTTCCGTGCAATTCCCCTTCTCCCTCCCATTCCCTCCCACCTCTCTTCCCTGTTTAGTGGTAATCTTCTTCTCATGCTCTTCCTCCCTACTCTGTTTTGAGTCATCCCCCCTTACATCAGAGAAGACATTTGGCATTTGTTTTTTAGGGATTGGCTAACTTCACTTAGTATAATCTGCTCTAATGCCATCCATTTCCCTGCAAATGCCATGATCTTGTTATTTTTTAGTGCTGAGTAATATTCCATTGTGTATAAATGCCACATTTTTTTTAATCCATTTATGTATTGAAGGGCATCTAGGTTGGTTCCACAGTCTAGCTATTGTGAATGGTGCTGCTATGAACATTGATGTAGCTGTGTCCCTGTAGTATGCTCTTTTTAGATCTTTTGGGTATAATCTGAGAAGGGAAATAGCTGGGTCAAATGGTGGTTCCATTCCCAGCTTTCCAAGGAATCTCCATACTGCTTTCCAAATTGGCTGTACCAATTTGCAGTCCCACCAGCAATATACAAGTGTATCTTTTTCCCCACATCCTCGCCAGCACTTGTTGTTGTTTGACTTCATAAGGGCTGCCATTCTTACTGGAATGAGATGGCATCTAGAGTGGTTTTAATTTGCATTTCTCTGATTGCTAGAGATGGTGAGCATTTTTTCATGTAATTGTTGATTGATTGTATATCCTCCTCTGAGAAGTGTCTGTTCAGATCCTTGGCCCATTTGTTGATTGGGTTATTTGTTTTAAAGTTGTTTAACTTTTTGAGTTCTTTGTATACTCTGGAGATTAGAACTCTATCTGAAGTGTGAGGGGTAAAAATTTGTTCCCAGGATGTAGGCTCCCTATTTACCTCACTTGTTATTTCTCTTGCTGAGAGAAAACTTTTTAGTTTGAATATGTCCCATTTGTTGATTCTTGATTTTAACTCTTGTGCTATAGTTGTCCTATTAAGGAATTTGGAGCCTGACCCCACGAGATGGAGATTAGGGCCAACTTTTTCTTCTATTAGACGCAGAGTCTCTGGTTTGATTCCTAGCTCCTTGATCCATTTTGAGTTAACTTTTGTGCATGGTGAGATAAAGGGATTCAATTTCATTTTGTTGCATATGGATTTCCACTTCTCCCAGCACCATTTGTTGAAGATGCTATCCTTTCTCCATTGCATGCTTTTAGCACCTTTGTCTAATATAAGGTAGTTGTAATTTTGTGGATTGGTCTCTGTGTCCTCTGTTCTGTACCATTGGTCTACCTGCCTGTTTTGGTACCAGTACCATGCTGTTTTTGTTACTATTGCTCTGTAGTATAGTTTAAAATTTGGTATCTCTATACCACCTGTTTCACTCTTCCTGCTTAGAATTGTTTTAGCTATTCTGGGTATTTTATTTTTCCATATGAATTTCATGATTGCTTTTTCTATTTCTGCGAGGAATGCCATTGGGATTTTGATTGGCATTGCATTAAACCTATAGAGTACTTTGGTAATATGGCCATTTTAATGATATTAATTCTGCCTATCCATGAACAAAGTATATCTTTCCATCTTTTAAGGTCTTCTTCTATTTCTCTCTTTAGGGTTCTGTAGTTTTCATTGTATAGGTCTTTCACTTCTTTTGTTAGGTTGATTACCAAGTATTTTAATTTTTTTGAGGATATTGTGAATGGGGTGGTTGTCCTCATTTCCATTTCAGAGTATTTGTCACTGATATACAGGAATGCCTTTGATTTATGTGTGTTGATTTTATATCCTGCCACTTTGCTGAATTCATTTATTAATTCTAGTAGTTTCTTTGTAGACCCTTTTGGGTCTTCTAGGTATAGAATCATGTTTTCTGCAAATAGTGCTAATTTAAGTTCTTCTTTTCCTATCTTTATGCCTTTAATTTCTTTCATCTGTCGAATTGTTCTGGCCAGTGTTTCGAGAACTATATTGAATAGAAGTGGTGAGAGAGGGCATCCCTGTCTTGTTCCAGATTTTAGAGGGAATGCCTTCAATTTTTCTCCCTTTAGAATGATGCTAGCCTGAGGCTTAGCATGAATAGCTTTTACAATGTTGAGGTAAATTTCTGTTATCCCTAGTTTTTCGAGTGTTTTGAACATAAAGGGATGCTGTATTTTGTTGAATGCTTTTTCTGCGTCTATCGAGATGATCATTTGGTTCTTATCTTTAAGTCTATTGATGTGGTGAATTACATTTATTGATTTCCATATATTAAACCAGGGATGAATCCTACTTGATCATGGTGCACAGTCTTTTTGGTATGTTTTTGTATCTGATTTGCCAGAATTTTATTGAGGATTTTTGCATCTATGTTCATTAGAAATATTGGTCTGTAGTTTTCTTTCTTTCAAGTGTCTTTGTCTGGTTTAGGAATCAGGGTGATGTTAGCCTTGTAGAATGAATTTGGAAGTACTCCCTCTTTTTCTATTTCCTGAAATAGCTTGAAAAGTATTGGTATTAGTTCTTCTTTAAAGGTTTTGTAAAACTCTGCTGTATACCCATCGGGTCCTGGGCTTTTCTTGGTTGGTAGTCTTTTGATGGCTTCTTCTATTTCCTCAATTGACATTGGTCTGTTTAGGTTGTGTATATCCTCCTTTCTCAATCTGGGCAGATCATGTGACTTAAGAAATTTATCGATGCCTTCACTGTTTTCTATTTTATTGGAGTATAAGATTTCAAAATAATTTCTAATTATCTTCTGTATTTCTATAGTGTCTGTTGTGATATTGCCTTTTTCATCCCGTATGCTGGTAATTTGAGTTTTCTGTCTTCTTCTCTTCGTTAGCATGGCTAAGGGTCTGTCGATCTTATTTATTTTTTCAAAGAACCAACTTTTAGTTTTGTCAATTTTTTCAATTGTTTCTTTTATTTTGATTTCATTGATTTCAGCTCTGATTTTAATTATTTCTTGCTTACTACTGCATTTGCTGTTGTTTTTCTCTTCTTTTTCTAGGGCTTTGAGATGAAGTGTGAGATAATTTGTTTGTTGCTTTTTTTCTTTTTTTTTGAGGAATGAACTCCAAGCAATGAATTTTCCTCTTAGGACTGCTTTCATTGTGTCCCATAGATTCCGATATGTTGTGTCTGTGTTTTCATTTATCTCTAAGAATTTTTTAATTTCCTCCTTGATGTCTTCTGTAACCCAGTGATCATTTAGTAACATATTGTTCATTCTCCAAGTGATGTAGGATTTTTTCTTCCTTCTTTTATCGTTGATTTCCAGTTTCATTCCATTATGATTGGATGAGATGCATGGTATTATCTTTATTCCTTTATAATTTCTAAGAGTTGCCCTATGGCATAATATATGGTCTATTTTTGAGAAGGATCCATGTGCTGCTGAGAAAAAAGTATATCTGCTGGATGATGGTTGATGTATTCTATATATGTCAGTTAAATCTAGGTTATTAATTGTGTTGTTGAGTTCTATAGTTTCTTTATTCAACTTTTGTTTGGAAGATCTATCTAGTGGTTAGAGATAATTATTGTGTTGTGGTCTATTTGTCTCGAACTTGAGGAGAGTTTGTTTTATGAATATAGCAGCACCATTGTTTGGGGCATATATATTGATGATTGTTATGTCTTTTTGGTGAATGGTTCCCTTTAACAGTATATAGTGTCCTTCTTTATCCCTTTTGGTTAACTTAGGCTTGAAGTCAGTTTTATTTGATATGAGTATGGCCACCCCTGCTTGCTTCTGAGGTCCATGTGAGTGGTATGATTTTTCCCAACCTTTCACCTTCAGCCTGTGTATGTCTTTTCCTATCAGATGAGTCGCCTGAAGGCAGCATATTATTGGATCTGTTTTTTTAATCCAGGTTACTAGCCTATGTCACTTATGGTGAGGTTAAGCCATTAACGTTTAGGGTTACTATTGATATATTTTGTACTTCCAGTCATGTTTGTTTATCTATTTATTTATTATTTTTTAATTAGATTTGTTTTTCCTCTTTAATTAGTCCCCCCCCCCCCCCATTTACTGAGGTACTTCCCACTGTTGGTTTTGGTTGTTGTTTTTCATTTCCTCTTCCTGTAGTGTTTTGCCCAAAATGCTTTGCAGGGCTGGTTTTCTGG